GGGCTGGATTTGAACCCGCCACCTTAGGTGTATGTGGCTGGCACCTTAGCCACTTGAGCCATGGGTGCTGAGCTGACAGAATGTACTTTAAAAAACTCTTATGTCCTACATAAATGTAAGGTATGATCATTACAGTAACAACAATGAGTTCCTGATCTTCAGAATAATGTTAACTTCTTTTCTGGTTTTTTTTTTTTTTTTTGGAGACAGAGCTTCAAGCTGTCCCCCTGGGTAGAGTGCCGTGGCATCACAGCTCATGGCAACCTCCAACTCCTGGGCTCAAGCAAGTGTCCTGCCTCAGCCTTCGAAGTAGCTGGGACAACAGGCGCCCGCCGGAACGCCCGGCTATTTTTTGGTTGCAGCCATCATTGTTGTTTGGCAGCCTGGGCTGGATTCGAACCCATCACCTTAGGTGTATGTGGCTGGCGCCTTAGCCACTTGAGCCACAGGCGCTGAGCCACTTTTATTTTCTCTTTGAGATAGAGTCTCACTCTGTTGCCCAGGGTAGAGTGCCATGCAACCTCAATCTCTTGGGCTCAGGTGATCTTGCCTCAGCATCCTGAGTAGCTGGGACTATAGGGGCACACCAAAATGCCCAGCTAGGTTTTCTATTTTTAGTAGAGACCAGGTCTCATCTTTGCTCATGCTGGTCCTGAGTTTAAGCAATCCACCTGCCTCAGCCTCCCAGAGTGCTAGGATTACAGATGTGAGCCACTGTTCCCTGCCTTCCCACTACTTTCTTGATGAAGTAGGTAGAACTTTAAAAAATTAGACATAATCCTAAGAGGTTTATGTGTTGTAAGCATGAGTGGACACATTCCATACTCATACACAAATGGGCTGTTGAGAATACAGAAAATTCTTTTTTATTTCATTTTATTTATTTTTTTATTATTTGGAATTCATTGAGGGTACCAAGAATTAGGTTACATGGATTGCATTTGTTAGATAAAGTCCCTCTTATGTCTGTGTCCTACCCCCAAGAGGTGTGCCATATACCGTGACCCCATCATCTTCCTCCCCTACCCACTTGTTCATCCCAGTACCTTGAGAATTTGTGATGTGAGCCATTCTCATTGGGGTTAAGTGTTATCTCAGGGTAGTTTTGATTTCCATTTCTCTTATGATTAGGGATGATGAGCATTTTTTTGTATGTTAGGCATTTGTCTGTCTTCTTTAGAGAAGATTCTATTCATCGCTCTTGAGCACTTATATATGGGAGTGTTGGGTCTTTTTTAATTAAATTGAGTTCTCTATAGATCCTAGTTATCAAGCTTTTGTATGATTCATAATATGCAAATATCTTTTCCCATTCTGAAGATTGCCTGCTTGCTTTGTCGTTCTTTCCTTAGCTATACAGAAGCTATTCAGGTTAAATCCCAATTGCTTATTTTTGTTGTTGCAATTGCCACAGAAGTCTTCTTCATGAAATCTTTCCCCAGGCTGATATCTTCAAGTGTTTTCCCCATACTTTCTTAAGAGGATTTTTTTTTTTTTTTTTTTTGAGACAGAGCCTCAAGCTGTCCCCCTGGGCAGAGTGCCATGGCATACATAGCACCTCACAGCAACCTCCAACTCCTGGGCTCAAGCGAGTCTCCTGCCTCCGCCTCCCAAGTAGCTGGGACCACAGGCGCCCGCCACAACGCCTGGCTATTTTTTGGTTGCAGCCGTCATTGTTGTTTGGCGGGTCCGGGATGGGGATTCAAACCCGCCACCTTAGGTGTACGTGGCTGGCGCCTTAGCCGGTTGAGCTATAGGCGCCGAGCCTCTTAAGAGGATTTTTATTGTTTTTATTGTTTCATGTCTTTTATCCGTCTTGAATTAGTTTTTGTAAGTGGGGATAGGTGTGGGTCCAGTTTGAGTCCTCTACACGTGATTATCCAGTTCTACCAATACCATTTATTGAACAGGGATTCTTTTCCCCAGTGTTTGGTTTATCAAAGATCACGTGGCTGTAAGTTGGTAGTTTCATCTCATGGTTTTCTATTTGGTTCCAAATGTTAATGTCTCTCTCTCTTTTTTTTTTTGATCCACCTCATGCTTTATTGTAAAATAATGTTAAAATAAATTACATTTGACATCATCACCAGTATGTACATACAATTGTGTGCCATTCCAGGACAGCCAACAAGACGAACTCATTAAAACAATTCACAGAAAAATACACGGTCACTCCCTTTCCCAGCTCCCTGCTGGGGCAGACCTCCCAATGGTCAGAGGGTGAGTTGGTGTGGACACAATGCCCATTAGTCTTCACCCATGTTTTGTCAGGGGTGGCCCCATCTGCCTCTACAGTGGAGGGGCAGATAGCACAGCATCAGGGAGGGCCTTTGAGGGCCACCTGCCCTCGCCCAGCATCCAGTCACCTGAAACAGATTGCCCCCACTTTGGCTCACTTGCTGACCAGTATCCCTCTACAACTCTGCAAGGGGACTTGGCCTGTGATGCAATGGCCTTAGCTGAGATCACCAGGGCAAGCCCATAGCATGAACATTGGACATCCCAATGCTTGGGACCCTGTACTTTAACCACTGGCTGTGAAGGCATAATGTCTCTATTTTTGTGCCAAAACCATGCTGTTTTGATCACTATGGCATTGTAGAATGGCCGAAAGGCCGGTAGGGTGATACTCCTGGCTTTGTATTTTTTTTTTATAAAAAAATTGTATTTATTTAGAAGCATTCAGCATGTCAACAAAACAGTTGCAAAGTTTTTTTGTAATTATAGAGTGGTATTCAGTTAACAGAACAATTATTTTGTGTAAGCTGCATCAGGGACAACTGAAGATGAAAAAACTACCATTCCCATATATAACTAATTTGTGCTACGCACCAACAAGAATCTGCTTTAAATTTCCATGCCAATTTCCACCCCGCATATCGTACCAGGCAAGGTTAGTGGCAATTGAAAATATCACCAGGATAGGGCTATGTAAAGACATATTCAATAGAATGTTAACTATACAAAAAAGACACTGTACAGTTTAAAAACAAAGCTTACATAGCCTTACATTTCAATTTTTTTCACTAAAAGGACTGAGTTGTGTACAGGGGGGTTAAATGCTTTACAGACAAGAGAAAAGGAATTTAATGATTTCTTCTTTTATCTCTGCCTGAAACCAACTATCATTCAGCATAAAGTTGCTTAATTTCCAAGTCTTTGTGGGGGATGGACGTTTTTGTTGAGAGTTGAGTTCCACATTTATTGCCTTGGGGTCTGAGAACATACAAGATATAATTTCTACTCTTTTAACTTTGCTGAGGTTTGATTTGTATCCTAGGATATGGTTAATTTTGGAGTACATACCATGGGTTGATGAGAAAAAGGTATATTCTTCAGCTTTCGGATGGTGTGTTCTGTATATGTCTATCAATCCCATTTGTTCTAGGGTCACATTTGAGTCCTTTGCATCTTTGTTTAGTTTCTATTTAGAGGATCTGTTCAGTTTTGTCAGAGGGGTGTTAAAGTCCCTGACTATTATGGTTTTATGGGATATCATTATTGCTCAGACCAGTCAAGACTGTTTCATAAATCTGGGAGCATTTAAGTTGGGTGCATAAATATTTAAAATTGAAATGTCTTCTTATTGTATTGTTCCTTTGACTAGCATAAAGTATCTACCTTTGTGTTTCTTAACTTTAGTTGCTTTAAATCCGCTTGTATCTGAAAATACAATTTCCTCTTTTCTTCGGATTTCCATTTGCTTAAAATACTGTTTTCCATCCCTCAACCCTGAGTCCTGATTTGTCCTTCAAGGCTAGGTGTGTCTCCTGGAGACTGCATATGGATGGCCTGTGCTTTCTTATCCAACTAGCCAGCCTGTGCCTCTTCAGTGGTGAATTAAGTTCATCGACAATTATTGGGAGAACTGACAAGTGTCATGGAGTTCTATTCATCTTATTTTATGAAAGTACCATTGTGTAGTTTTATCCTTTGCGCGTCTGTGGAAGCCAAGTTTTAACCTTTAGCTTCTGGGTTTTTACTTTGCTGGTGACCCATTGTGATGGTCAGGGCTGAGAATAGTTGCCTAAGCATTTCCTGTAGAGTTGGTCTTGTGAATTTCCTCAGTGCTTCTATATCCACAAAAAATTTGATTTCTCCATCAATTTTGAAGCTTAGTCCTTAGTTTCAATTTTGAAACTCTCTCCTTGGGCAGCACCTGTGGCTCAGTGAGTAGGGCGCCGGCCCCCTATACCAAGGGTGGCGGGTTCGAACCTGCCCCTGGCCAAACTGCAACAAAAAAATAGCCAGGCGTTGTGGTGGGCACCTGTAGTCCCAGCTACTCAGGAGGCTGAGGCAAGAGAATTAATTGCCTAAGCCCAAGAGCTGGAGGTTGCTGTGGGCTGATGCGATGGTACTCTACTGAGGGCAACAAAGTGAGACTCTGTCTCAACAAACAACTAAAAAAGCTTTCTCCTCTACCTTTCAGGTTCTTTCTTCTTCATGGTCTAACCTACTTTCATACTTTCTATTGCATCTGTACATTCCCCGATTATCTCCTTCATTTCCTTAAGCTCCATCATATCCTTTGTATATTCTATGTATCTCTGTCTTTCCATTTCCTCGTCCATTCCTTTTATTGTGTTTATCATGCATATTTTAAATTCCCTTTCTGTCAAGTCCATTAATTCTTTACAGGTTGTGTCTTCTGCAGTAGCTGCCTCATGGTCCCTTAGGGGAGTTCTTCTGTTTTGGTTTTTCATGTTGCCCAAATTTCTCTGTTGGTTCCTCCTCATGTGTTCTTTCTTCTTGTTCATGTCCTTGTCCTCCTTTTTCCTTCTTACTACTTTGTTTCAAACTGAAGTCCTTGCTCTTGATGACAGTATGTCACAATATGTTGCTGGCACATGAGGTGGCACTGTGGTTTTGTTAGGAGACAGAGAACACAGCCAGCAACCTCTATGGTCCTTATTCCAAACTTAGCTGCTTTTGGTGATTGCCTGATTGTTTCCCTCAGAATTAAGACCCTGCTGGCTTGGGATTTTAAAGCTCACAAGAATCGGCTCGGCGCCTGTGGCTCAAGCGGCTAAGGTACCAGCCACATACACCTAAGGTGGCGAGTTCGAATCCCCAGCTCGGGCCCGCCAAACAACAATGATGGCTGCAACCAAAAAAGGGCCAGGCGTTGTGGCGGGCGCCTGTAGTCTCAGCTACTTGGGAGGCTGAGGCAGGAGACTCGCTTGAGCCCAGGAGTTGGAGGTTGCTGTGAGTGTGATGCCATGGCACTCTACCCAGGGAGATAGCTTGAGGCTCCGTCTCAAAAAAAAAAAAAAAAAAAAAAGCTCACAAGAATCCTTTAGGGGCAGGTCTCACAGTGCCCATGACTCCAGTTCCCGTGGGGTGCGAAAGTCCCTCAGCCTGTACCAAGAGTGGAGTTCTGATCCCAGCAGGTGGAATAAAGACAGCTGTGCTTTAGGCTCCCTGCTAAGACCTTCTCATGACCTTCCCACAATGGCAGTCCTGGCTGCTTAGACTTCTCAGTATGGCTGCCTCACCAGCCACCAAACCTATTCCAAATCCACTCCAACTGGCATTCAAATCTGGTTGCTGTATACTGTTCAAATCTGCCCACTCTTCTAAGCTGCCATGGTCCTTCTGGTCTGCCATGATGCTCTGCCCTAGGACTCTTAGAAAATTCTGACAGCAAAATTTAGTCACATATGAATAAACAAAAGTGTGGAATCACTGAGAGTATACCTAAGAAAAATTTAATAAATATGTGCCATTGGACCTTTATGATACTTCTCTATCCCATACAACAAATAAAAAGACAACCTTCAAAATGGGAAAGATATTTGCATGTTATGAATCTTACAAAGGGTTGACAATTAGTATCTACAGAGAACTGAAATTAATCAACAAAAAAAGAACAAACAATCCCATCTACCACTGGGCAAGAGGTAAAAACAGAATCTTCTTTGAGGAAGACAGATGAATGGCTAACAAACATTTGAAAAAATGGGCTGGGTGTGGTGGTTCATGTCTGAAATCCCAGCACTTGGGAGGCCGAGGTGGGTGGATTGCCTGAGCTCACAGGTTAGAGACCAGCCTGAGCCAGAGTGAGACCCAATGTCTAAACATGGCTAGGAGTTGTGGCAGGCACCTGTAGTCCCAACTACTTGGGAGGCTGAGGAAAGAGGATCACTTGAACACATGAGTTTGAGGATGCTGTAAGACGTCTGGCACTCTTTACCAGGAGTGACCAAGTGAGACTGTCTCAAAAAAAAAGAAAAGAAGAGAAATGCTCATAATCCCTGATCATCAGAGAAATGTGAATCAAAACCACCTTGAGATATCACCTAACTCCAAAGTCTCAAAGCTGCAGATGCTATGTGGATGTGGAGAGAGGGGAACACTTTTACAATGCTGGTGGGACTGCAAACTAATATAATCTCTTTGGAAGAATGTATGGAGAATCCTCAAGGAACTCAAATTAGACTCCCATTTGATCTAGCAATCCCATTACTAGGCATCTACCCACAAGAAAAAAAAAGGTTTTATCATAAGGACATTTACACTAGATTGTTTATTGCAGCTCAATTTACAATTGCCAAAATGTGGAAACAACCTAAATACCAATCCAGGAATGGATTAATGACCTGTGGTATATATATATTATTGAATAGTATTCTATCATTCAACCTGCAGTTGAAACATATTCTTCTTAGTAAAGTAATCACAAGAATGGAGAAGTAAGATTCCAATGTACTGGGCAGCACCTGTGGCTCAGCAGGCAGGGCGCAGGCTCCATATACCGAGGGTGGTGGGTTCGAACCTGGCCCTAGCAAAACTGCAACAAAAAAATAGACCCAGCTACTTGGGAGGCTGAGGCAAGAGAATCGCTTAAGCCCAAGAGTTTGAGGTTGCTGTGAGCTGTGAGGACATGGCACTCTACCGAGGGTGACAAAGTAAGATTCTGTCCCCCAAAAAAAGAAGAAAAAAAATTCTAAAACAAATTCAAAGTTAAGTCTCCTCAAATCATGTGTAAGAATCCCTTCACTCAGAAAACACAAACTATTTCAAATTATGTAAACCTTCCACAAGATTGTTACCTAATGTCATCAGAGCAGCAATCAGCAACCATCCAGCTTGTGTGCGCTGAGCTGAAAGACGACTGTTTTGAGCAGCAGAACACAGTAAATCTTCTGCTAATGTCATAATAATCTATTTACATACAGAAGAACAAGGTAAAAAAAAAAGCATATCAGTTCACAAGTTACTCAACAAACCACAACAACTAATAAAAATCTCTCAAAAAGTTAAAACTTAAATAAAATATGTTGAAAAACTGTTATTCATGTAGATTAAATAACAGGACAATGTCATATAAGAAACTATTAAAAAATTAGGTTTTCAAGATTAAATACTGGTAAGTGGGTAGTACGTGTATACAGCAACCCTATAGCGCTTTATATAGCATATATGACAACATTGTAAGATTGTTTAAGTCTGGCTATATAGAATTTAAATTCACTTTTATTTTTAAGCAACCATCCCTCTAGATCAGTAATTACCAGAAACAGTTCTGTTATAGCAGTCTTTTTAAAATTCTGCATAGCAACTTTGATACCTTAATAGATAATAACAATCTTCTTATAGGAGTATAAAATTGTGGTTAAAAGGAGTCAAACTGTCTCTCATTAAAATGTTATAGTAAGGAATTCTACAAAGTAAGCAGTGTTATAAAACAACAGAAAGGAAAAACTAGGTATTTCACATTTATGGATAATGTATCTTATACATGCAATGACAACTGTTTGCTTAGCAAGATGTGTTAGTTCAGAATATAACTAAAATAATGAGTTTAAATGAATAACATCACCCCCCCAACTTGTCAACTACCTTATTCCAATGACACTGGCATTACTTAACGTCATTTTTGGATTTGGTGATGTTATGGTCTATTGCAGAGCCTAAACTGGAGGATATACTACAAAACTCAATAATGACATAGGAGTGGCAGTAAGAAAGAAATTATGATGATGTATTCTTTCAAATATATATGTGTGAGGTATGGGTTGTAAGGGCTTTCACTGTCAAATAGTTATTCTTTGATACTTCTAATTCCTAGCTATTAAAAAACATACAAAATTCCAACACTATGCTTTGTCTATGTTGTATATTCTGTGTCTAATTAAAATTTTGTTCTTTAGTTCTCTTCAAAATTCTCTGTACATTAAAACAGGGCTATTTATTCACTAGGTTTTATATCATTTACTTTTTTGGAAGTGCTATATCCAAAAGCACTAAATTTATCTAGAAAATGACAATTTTCAGTAACAATGTAATTTGGGGGGGGGGGAGGCATTATTTTTCTTTTCTTTTTTTTTCCCTGAGACATTGTCTCACTCTGTTGCCCCAAGCTAGAGTGCCGGCATCAGTATAGCTCACACAACCTCAAACACTGGATTCAAGTGCCTCAGCCTTAGCCTCCCATGGAGGGGGGGACATTTTCAAACTTAATTATGAACTCATAAAGTATTATATATTTAGTGTGTTTCAATCCATTATAGTCATTAGTATCTGTGATGTACAAACTATCCCATCTTTGATCAGTAGGAGCCCCCTAAGTCACCTCCTTTTAAGATGAACATAGTATTCTTTGATGGCCTCCTTAATTTCTGACATGACAAGATATCCCAATCTTATGTGTACATTATGCATATCCTGTCCCAGGCCTGAAACCAGCCACCACTCCATAGAAGCTTGATTCTATTTTGGTTGGAAATGGTAATTAGAGCCACAATATGGGCATTAGGGTTATTCCCTGCTACTGGGTTATCTGCTTTTAGCCCTTTTCACTGGATAAAATGAAGACATAAGTATTTCTTCTCTTTCTTTTTTTTTTTTTTATTGAATGGTAACTGTGTACATTAATGCACTTCTGGGGTACAGTGTGGTGTTTTCACACACAATCCAAGACACTTCCATCAAACTGGTTAACCTAGCCTTCATGTAACTTTCTTAGTTATTGTGTTAAAACGTTCATATTCTACTCATAGAAAGATTCACTTGTACCCTTGTAAGATGAACCACAGAAGTGAACCCTCGAATCCCTCTCCCTCCACCCACTCCCCCTCCCTCCCCCCTCCCCGTATAAGTATTTCTTTTTTTAAAATAAAAGTAAGAGTTCATACTGATAATTTCAAGTCAAGTTTGACAGACAGGGCTTTTACGTAACTTTCTTGATTCTACAGCTGTAGCTCTTTTTTCTTACATGGAAAATCTTGGTTCCTAAGAAAATTAACATAATTATCTGCTTTATCTTACTATATGTAAACTATTTTTGAAGTAATACCACCAATTAATTCCACTAACTAAAATTATTAAACAAAATTCAAGATTTTTTTACAACTCTATTTATCCTTTATAATAGAATTTTAAATGTACTTATATGGCAGGGCTAAATAGCGAAATACAGCCTTTAGGAACAAATTATGTTACTACATAGAGATACCTCTAACAAAAAGGACAGATAGGCTTGGCGCCTGTAGCTCAGTGGCAAGGGTGCCAACCACATACACCGGAGCTGACAGGGTTCGAATCCAGCCCAGGCCCGCAAAACAACCATGACATCTACAACCAAAAAATGGCCAGGCATTGTGGCAGGTGCCTGTAATCCCAGCTACTTGGGAGGCTGAGGTAAGAGAATCCCTTGAGCCCAGGTGTTTGAAGTTGTTGTGAGCTGTGCCGCCACGGCATTCTACCGAGAGTGACATAGTGAGGCTATCTCCAAAAAAAAAAAAGACAGATAGTATCCCATCTTTAGGTTATCTGCTCAGAAGAAAAAATCATTGACCGTAGGTCATTTGCACTAGAATGTTTACAGTAGTTCAATTCACAATTGCAGAGATGTACAAACAACCCAAGTGCCCATTAACTCAGGAATGGATTAATAAATTGTGGTATATGTATACTATGGAGTACTTTTCACCCATAAAAAAAGATGGAGACTTTACACCTTTGGTATTACCTGGATGGAGCTAAAGAACATTCTCTACTGAGAGAATTAGAACATACTCTAATTTTAAACAAACATCCTATGTACTCAATACTAATTTGAAAGTAGCAGATGAAAAATTATAGGTCCACACAGAGGAAAAACACATTTTGCATTTAAATTCAAGAAGGGGGGGCGGCGCCTATGGCTCAGTGGGTAGGGCACTGGCCTCATATACCCAGGGTGGCAGGTTCAAACCCAGCCCCTGCCAAACTGCAACAAACAAAATAGCCAGGTGTTGTGGCTGGCGCCTGTAGTCCCAGTTATTCAGGGGGCTGAGGTAAGACAATAACCTAAGCCCAGGAGTTAGAGGTTGCTGTGAGCTTGTGTGACACCACGGCACTCAACCGAGGATGATAAAGTGAGACTCTGTCTCTATAAAAATAAATAAATAAATAAATAAGTAAATTCAAGAAGGGAGTTAGAGGGGGAAAGGGCAATGGGGCTCAGTAAGCCCCTACCTAACAGATACAATGTAGGGGAATATATGGCACACCTCTGGGTGAAGGATTTAAATACAACTCAAACTTTACCTTATAAATGCAAACAAGGGGCCAGGTGCCATGGCTCGCACCTATAATCCTAGCACTCTGGGTGGCTGAGGTGGGTGAATTGCTCGAACTCATGAGTTTGAGACCAGCCTGAGCAAAAAAGCGAGACCCCCGTCTCTACCAAAAATAGAAAAACTGAGGCAAGAGAATTGCTTGAGCCCAAGTTGGAGATTGCTATGAGCTATGATGCCACGGTACTCAGAGTGACAGCTTGAGACTCTGTCTCAAAAAAAACAAACATACAAATGAAAAAAACCAAATTTTCAAACATGTAACCTAATTGCACATACCTTTGTATTCCAAAAGAAAAAGCACTCATTTATTAAAACATACATAAAATATTTTTTAAATAGCCCTTCATTTTTTTTACAGTAATTATGTTGGTAATATTTAATACTTAAAGTATAGTATAGCTGATTGCTCAGAAATATGACCTGTACAGATTTGGGTAATATATAAAAAGACTATGGTATTTTTAGGAAAAATCTAAAACATTATCATCATATATAAAGAATGAAATTATTACCTTCCCCTTTCCATGTGGAATTCCTAAAGGACAACGTTTCACTGCTCCCAACAAAGCTGCCACAGCAAAACTAAAGCCAGTCACTGCTTCAGGTGAAGACTTATGTACAGTAAGACGGTCAAGGCAACGATCTAAGAGAGGTGTTAGGTAGGAAGGTAATGCCACAGCAATGCAGTGTAAACACCAAGCTGCTGCTAGTCGAACAGATGTGCTAGGATGAAGAATAACTGAAATGACACTATCAAGGAGGCCTGGAAGAACAGAATAAGTAAATGATGAATTAGGCACACAAATAAAACTTACTTGGCCATAAGACAGACAAAAGAATAAATAGCCACATCAATATAAGAGATATTATTTTATTAAAAGTTAAATCAAAATTGAAAAAAATTAAGTGATAATTACAAATATTTTAAAATCTAAGAATCACTTCACTAATAAATCTTATGAAAACTGGCTTAAATTAAGTCAGTACACAAAAGAAAAATTATTTTCCTAAATAAGACAATGTTCTACCAGCTTTATCTTGAGATCATTAGTAATTTGGTACTAAAAATCAAAAATTATCAAAAACATCCTGACAAAAACCAAAATTAACAGAAACATCTTGAAAATAAATGTCATACCTTATCTCATCCTTCTTTTAATTTTTTAATCCCTTCCAGCACATTTATCTACATTAGTATGCTTACTATCTACCACATTGTTCTTGAGACCAAAATGTTAAAATCAAGGGTTTGCTGGGTCCTCAGGAAGCTATTGTGAAGATTATAAAGACAGTAGAGTACTGCCTATAACAAAAAAGTCTACATGTGTATGATTCAACCTACACCTTCACAAAATATGTAAGTTTCATGTCTACTGCTACTTAAATCTGGTAATAGATAGCAGATTTAAAGTAATAAAGTAGCAGTACTTAATTACCAGATTTAAGTAGTTTACAAACACAAATATAAAGTATCTCAGTATCTCAGTCAGCAGGAAATGGGTATCATAGTGAATAAGCACTATAAAAATTATTTCTGAAAGTGATTTTTTTTTTTAAGACAGAGTCTTACTTTGTTGCCCTCGGTAGAGTGGCGTGGTGTCATAGCTCATAGAAACTTTAAACTATTGGGCTCAAGCAATTTTCTTGCCTCAGCCTCCCAAGGAGCTGGGACTACAGGTGCCCGCCACAATGCCCAGCTATTTTTAGAGATGGGCTCTCACTCTGGCTCAGGCTGGTTCAAACCTGTGAGCTCAGGCAATCCACCCAACTCGGCCTCCCAGAGTGCTAGGATTATAGGCGTGAGCCACCATGCTTGGCAGCTAAAAGTCATTTTTAAAAAGTTCCTCACTAAAGACTATATATTATATGATTCCATTTATGTGAAATGTCCAGACTAGGCAAATGCAGCTTCCCTCTGGAGCTGAGGGAAAGAGAAATAGGAATGACAACTAATGGGCTTCCTGAGGTGATGAAACCACTCTGGTAGTGGTTGTACAGCTTTGTGACTATACCAAAAACCACTGAACTGTAAACTTTAAAAGGGTAAATTTGGCCAGTCATGGTGGCTCATGCCTGTAATCCCAGAACTCTGGGAAGCCAAGGCAGGAGGACTGCTTGAGCTTAGGAGCTGAAGACCAGCTCAAGATAAGCAAGAGTGAGACCATGTCTTTACTAAAATGGAAAAATTAGCCAGGCATGGAAGGGGGCACCTGTAGCCCCATCTTCTTAAAAGTCTGAGGCAGGAGGAGTTTGAGGTTGTTGTGAGCTACGATAGGCCACTGCATACCATGCAGGGCAACAGATGAGACTCTGTCTAAAAAATAAATAAAGGGAGGGGCATGGGATGCTTATGCCTATAATCCCAGCACTTGGGAGGCAGAGGCAGGCAGATTGCCTGAGCTCACAGGTTTGAGACCAGCCTGAGCCAGAGCAAGACCCCTTCTCTAAAAACAGCCAGGTGTTGTGGTGGACACCTGTAGACTAGCAACTTGGGAGGCTGAGGCAAGAGAATTGCTTAAGCCCAGAAGTTTAAGGCTGCTGTGAGCTATGATGCCACAGAACTCTACCAAGGGTGACAAAGTGAGACTCTGTCTCCAAAAATAAAAAATAAAATAAACAAATAAATGGTAAAATATTATGGTATGGGAATTATATCTTCATAAAACTATTATACATAAGTGATTACATAATTTTCAAAGAACGAAAGAAAAAAATATACTCTGAAAGACCCTTTAGAAACTGAATTATATGTACCATATAGATACTAATATTTTCATTGCAGATGAGAGACATGAGTTCAGGTTTTCTCCTCTGTAAGTTTTTCCACATTTATATTATATATTTCCAGAAAAGAGGTCAAGGAGAAGACTCAGAGAACAATTTTTAATTACATAAGCAAAAACCCCTCAAATATATATGTACTTTTAATAATTCTGATTATAAATTTTTCATAAAATTTATAAAACATCTCTAATGCATCTACCTGGAATCTAAAACAAGTGAGGTATGTGAAGGAAATTTCCTTCCTTGGAAAAAATTTACCTAGAGTGCAAATAAAAATAAGGTATTCAGATGAGTCACCAACAACAGACAAACCTGCACTTGAATCCTGCAGCAAAGGTGCAGCTGTGGTGCCAAGACTGTATATGAGACTCCCAAGTTCTTGCAGTGCACACACCAGCATATGCTGGCTAGCTGCTATATCTGTAGAACCAAGCTGAGTTTCTAAGTTACCATCACTTAGTACTGCATCTGATAGAAACATAAGAATTAATTATTTATCACTATTTTATTAAAACATAGTATAAGAGGGTGGGTAGTAGGAGCAAAAAAGTATAAAGGCAAAAATTAATACATACACTTGATCTATACGAAATGCTTGAGGCAATAACTGAAATATCAAGAAAGGTATGAAGTAATATAACCAATTTACTTCAAGCAACCCAATGAGAGATCCCTTATTACTCTGTTAGCAAGTGGCACTGAAATGGAGAACTGATGGGAAACTATAATAAAAATTCCAATATCACCAATAAGATAAGCAGAGTAGACTTAAGACAGTATAAGAACTGAGACAGATTGTTTCAAAAATAATTTATCTTCTATAGAAGAACAACACGAATTCTGAAGAACTACTATCATCAGCTTTCAAGGTTTTTGTATTAATTTAGTAATATTATCAGTCTAACTTTTCCAAAGGGACAATTCCTTTAACACTGTTAAACAAACGGTCTCTGTAGATCCATACCCACAATTTTCTTTAGCTTCCAGATGGCCTGGCAAATATCCTTCACAGCAGCAATTTGGGCCTTTTCTCCAAGAAGTCCTCCTATGGTAGCTCGAAGAATAAATGAAACACAACGTCGACAGCAGACAGCATCAATCTGAGTTTGGGTGGCTTTAGGGTGTGACTGTGACACAAGGCTCAGGATATGAGAAAGAAAGGCAGCAAAATTTTTCTCTAGCCAAGCTCCTCCTAGTGTTGAAATGAATACTACATAAGCCTAAAAAAGAAAGAAGTTTTTTCAAAATTAAATTATTTCAATTTTATATTTTCTTTTCCACAAAATATGTAATATTTACTCGTATTTTCTGTTCCCTACAAATTGTATTCTTTTCTTATTTACAGCCATTTGAAATATATAAATGTAGCACTATTTTTCTGTTTCTTTAAAGCCAAACTGAAGTGCATAGTCTTTCAACCGAGACTTCATTTATGTTGCCTCTGTTTTGTTCTGGTCAGACATTTCAGGGTATCAGTATAACCAGCTAGTATATAAAATGTATGCGTAGCTTCTTTGATCAAAGGTTTCAGTAGATTTAACATTCTGAAGAAGAAAATCCAATTCAAATAAATAAAATACATTATGAGAATTAACTATGCTACATTCACTGTCACTCTAAGGTGAGTTAGTTCAGAGACCCGAAAGTTAACAGTGATGACTTACTGCTCTTTATTATCATGAGTATTAATTGTGTGTCTTACTTCAGAGATATAAAGACAAGTAGATTTCTTAAGTAATCTGTTTCTTAGAAAGAAAGACATAGTTTAGGACCGGTACGGTGGTGCGGTGACTCACACCTACAATCTTAGCACTGTGCGAGGCCACGGAAGATAGATTTCCTAAGCTCAGGAGTTCAAGACCAGCCTAAGCAAAAGCAAGATCCTGTCTCTACTAAAAATAGAAAAACTAGCTGGGCATCCTGGCAGGTGCCTGTAGTCCGAGGTCCTCGGGACTCTGAGGCAAGGGGATCACTTGAGCCCAGGAGTTTGAGGTTGCTGTGAGCTACAATGATGCCATGGCACTCTACCCAGGGCAACAAAGTGAAACTCTTTCTCAAAAAAAAAATTTAAAAAAAGAAAAAAGAAACACATGGTTTAATTGTAATTACACTGAGAAACTTACACTTTCCTTAAGACTATATACAACACAAAACAATGAGGATATATGTGAATTTTTTAAAAATACAAGTTTGGCTCAGTGTCTGTAGCTCAGTGGCTAGCTAGGGCACCAGCCACATACACCAGAGCTGGTGGGTTCAAATTTAGAGCGGGCCTGCCAAAAAACAATGACAACTATAACCAAAAAATAAAAATAGCTGGGCATTGTGGTGGGCACCTGTAGTCCCAGCTACCTAGGAGGCTAAGGCAAGAGAATAGCTTAAGCCCATCATGGCGCTCTACCAAGGGCGACAAAGAGACTTTGTCTCAAAAAAAAAAAAAAAAAAGTTTGCTTTGAATCATAGTACCATTTAGAGAAAAAGGTAATTCAAAGAATGAATGCAGAGACCACTGTGCTGTTTTATTCTATGATACCTTTTCCAAGGGTTTACTTTTTAAAACTTTGTTTAGAACCAACAATCTAAGCACTGGCTCAGCGCCTGTGGCTCAAGTGGGTAGGGCGCCAGCCACATACACCTAAGGTGGCAGGTTTGAATCCAGCCAGGGCCCGCCAAACAATGATGGCTGCAACCAAAAAATGGCCGGGCGTTGTGGCAGGGGCCTGTGGTCCCAGATGCTTGGGAGACGGAGGCAGGAGACTCGCTTGAGCCCAGGAGTTGGAGGTTGCTGTGAGCTGTGATACCACAGCACTCTACCCAGGGGGACAGCTTGAGGCTCTGTCTCAAAAAAAAAAACAATCTAAGCACTGAAGTAGATTTGCATGTTATAATCTTTATTTCAGCATTAAAATCATATAAAATAGTTATTTTGTCCATAAAAAAATATATACCTACTAGCTTCAATTTGAACTATACAAGAACACATAAACAATGGGAAACATATTAAACCACAAGACACATAAAGTATAAGGGCCAGAAACAAAAGATGTTTGTGTTTCAAAGGAAATAAAAATCTTCTATTATCAGGAACTTAAAACATACCTGAGTAATAAGTTTTTTTTGCTTATAATCTAATTCTCAAAAAGGTTTTGGGCCTTACCATTTATGTCTATTCATAAATATTAGAGCATAAGTGGTGACCTTGTATAGTATCACTTCTGTGGAGTCAGATACTAAAACTTCCACTATAGGCCAGTGAGAATTACATTTAGATACTCATTTGTGATTCCAACCTGAGTAACTCCAACTCGAACATCCCTACTGACTGAACTGGTTCCTTTCAGCATATCTCCACTGGCTCGAAGAAATCCTGAACTCCCACGTAGAAACCCTGTTCCTAGTAATTCCAGAACTTCCTCCAGAGATACTCTGCGAATGCTTTGACGTGAGGCTGCTATGACAAAAAACAAAACAAAACAAAAATGTGACTGTATTGAATAGACTAAATCTTAATGGATGCTCTTAATTTGCAAAAAGCCAGTATGTTAATCGAAACAAAAATAAATATTCAAAGAAAATACAAACTTTACAGGACATTCTACACATTTACACACAAAAGAGTCACAGAAAGTTACAGAGCTCAAATTAGAATGAACTCTGAAGTATCCTATCAAGGACATCTTAAATTCTATGCCATATTAAGATCACACTCTTGCTACCTCTCCTCAAACAAAAAACCTAAGTCTTCTAAAACAAGAGAAAACATTAGTAAGACTACCTGAGTTCTCCATAAATGAAAATACTACATCATGCTTTGAAAATTGTTTTGAAATACTAAAAATGCCCAAAATAATTTTCTTTTTTCAAATGCTCTATAACTCCTTATGAAATTTACATAAAGTAACCACCATGTCATATTTTAAAAAATTCTCTACTGGCAACACAACTTTTGCTCCTCTATCAGTTTCTGAAGAAATTGAAGCTAAATGATATATCATTAAAACTACTCAGCTAGGGCTCGGTGCTGATAGCACAGTGGTTATGGCACCAGCCAAATACACAGAGGGTGGCAGGTTTATACCTGGCCCGGGCCAGTTAAACAACAATGACAACCGCAACAACAACAAAAAAATAGCTGGGCGTTGTGAGGGGCACCTGTAGTCCCAGCTACTTGGAAGGCTGAGGCAAGAGAATTACTTGAGTCTAGGAGTTTGAGGTTGCTGTGAGCTGTGACGCCATGGCACTCTACCGAGGACAACATGATGAGACTGTGTCTCAAAAACAAAACAAAACAAAAAAACAAACAAACACAAAAAACCAACTACTCAGTTGGACCTCAAGCTACAGTAATTAAGAGATTAGTTAGGGCAGGAATGTTTAAGGTTACCTTCAGTTTCACACTGCTGTTTTTCCTTGTGACTATCAGGGAATAGTACATCCTTTGAAAAAAAAACAAACTCATTTCTCCTCAGAAGAAATTAATTTTATTTCTGAAAATTAATGATCATAAGCTCTGACCCTTGTTATAGATTCAAATCATATAGCAGTATAGAAATAAACTTTTGTTAAAATTACTACTCCCTAAAAGAAAAGAAAACCATCTGAAACAAAAATCTATTTTGGCATTTGGGAAAAAAAATTATGTTAAAAATGGTTTGAATGAATGGATGAATATGGAAATCATTGGTGATCTTGACAAGAACAGTTTGGTAGAGTGACTGGGGTAAAATCCCATAAGAAGTGAGTTTGAAAGATATGAGAGGAGAGTTCTTTACCTCATAGTCTTTGCATATTGCATTGTTAAAACAATCTCTATGTTTGTTTTAGACATTCAACCTCTATGAATGTCTTCTAAATTATAAGCCCTGTGTTGCTAATTCTCAGTCACCTACTTTCAAAAATTCTATGATGACATCTACAGCATTTTTCAGTTGTATAAAAATAACTCAGGCTCAGTGCCTGTAGCTCAGCAGCTAGGGAGCCAGCCATACACTGGAGCTGGCAGGTTCAAATCCAGCCCAGGCCTGTTGCCAAGCAACAATGACAACTACAACCAAAAAATAGCCAGGCCTTGTGGTGGGAGTCTCAGCTACTTGGGAGGGTGAGGCAAGAGAATCGCTTAAGCTCAGGAGTTGGAGGTTGCTGTGAGCTGTGATGCCATAGCACTCTACCAAGGGTGACAAAGTGAGATTGTCTCCAAAAAATAAAATAAAATAAAGTAAAACTCAATGATAACACAAGATAGAACTTATAGGTGCAAGATGAAAGAATATGCAACAAAAGATTAGGTTTAATTTTTTAGTGTTGGTGAAGTTGATTTTTCATTTAGGTTGGTCTGATTATAAAAATGTTAGGATTAGCTCCGTGGTATTATAGGAAGGAAGAAATTTAAATATTATTCACATTATGCAGGTCTACACTTTGCTTGTTTTAACTACAATTGTGTGCTAGTGCTAATAATACATTTACAGAAATAAGCAATTCATGTTTTCAAGAGGGTTTGATAAAAAATGTCTTCTAGGTGGGGTGCAGTGGCTTATGCCAGTAATCCTAGCACTCTGGGAGGCTGAGGCAGGTGGATTACTTGAGCTCACAAGTTTGAGACCAACCTGAGCAAAACAGCAAGACTCATCTCTACTAAAAAAAGACCTGAGGCAAGAGGATTGCTTGAGCCTAAGAGTTTGAGGTTGCTGTGAGCTATGACATCATGGCACGCTATCCACAGCAACAGCTTGAGACTCTGTGGTTTGAGTCTTTTTGTGGTTTTCTCCTCTATCCTCTCACACCTCCACAATAAATAAGTATTAGTGAGTTATAAGATTAGAAGAATCAGAGTAAAAATAAAAATTTCTTATAAATTATAAAGTTATAGGTCTCAACTGGAGAATAAACAGATTGTACAGTTTGTTAATGTTTCCCAGGTGAATGTGATATGTTGTAGTTCATCTTCTCTCACTCTGGTTAAGAAACACTGCTTTAGGGCAGTGCCTGTGGCTCAAAGGAGTAGGGTGTCAGCCCCATATGCTGGAGGTAGTGGGTTCAAACCCAGCCCCAGTCAAAAACTGC